TTACGGGTTTACGGTAACGGGACGTACTCTACTTAATTACTCGTCCTTACGTGTCCTCCCCCCCACCCCCCCCCCATGCATCGTCCTCATCACCACCAACACCGTTCATCTCCTCCCAGAATTTTTCATTTATTTTTTAACCATTTATTCTTTTTTATTCCTTTTTTAATTTTACTTTTTTTGATTAATTCAAGAAATGATTCTCACATGATTGATACAAATAATTTTCAAACCTACCACCATTCAATATTAGAACACAACTTCCAAAAGAAATTTTCAAATCTGAAACTCTTCAAGTTCAACAATGGTGAAGCTGATGAACCGCGTTTAAAGTTAATTTTCAACTAGGTTTTAAAAAAATTTAGTCCTATAACATTTAGCAAATCAATCCTCAAAGTTTAATTCAACCTCATATGCAAAAAATCCCAACCCAAGATGAGGCTTTAAATTTTCGATAATAGGCTTCCAAATCTCTTACTTGAATCTGATCCAGCAGTAACGAACACATGAATTTAATTCAAAATCTGAAAATTCAGTTATTATCATGTTATTTATTTTTGGCTAGATTGTTTGCTTGATTTTCTAGTTCCGGGTAAAATTGGTCTGAAAGAGGTGACATGGTGTTTTGATGAGGAAGAAAGAGATGTAAACTAAAGAGAAAGAAAATGGAATAAAAATAGAACTAAAAATAGAAAAAAACATATTTGGAGGGGAATAGGTCTGGTATGAATTAAAAATTGGTGGATTTTAAGCTGGAAACGAGTATTAAAATTAGGAGTGAGTGAATGCCCCATAAACTTGACCCATTCTATGGTGAATGACATGGTGTCATCTGACATGGCATGTGACATGGACAAAAATTGAAAGGGTCAGCTGCCACTGTGTAGGGCCGTTAGGGTTAGGGAAAAATTTGCAGAGTTTTTAACGATAGGGGCAGAAATGAACGAATAAACAATATGCCAGAGTAGAAGGACAAATCTAGACCTTTTCCCTTTTTTTAAAATTATTGATTTGGTAGCTAGCTGACAAAAAATCCGTAATAATATGATAATTATACTGTCACGATCTAGATTTCCCTCCGTAAGATGTCGTGACGGCACCTAGTCTCTAAGGCTACGTAAGCCTAACAATTTCGGAATAACTGAAAATAATGACAGAAATAACGACTATACTTCGCAGATATATATAAAAATATCGCTCGACATATACAAGTAAACCAACAACTCGAGTATAAACAACTCCCAAAACCCGGTAGTCACAAGTCACAAGCTCTAAGGAATGTACTAACCGTCTCTATACATCAACATCTAAGAGAATAAAGAAGAAAGACAATATAAGGATAGAGGGGAACTCCGAGTTCTGCGGACGCTGACAGATATACCTTGAAGTCTCCACGTACTCACTGCTCACTGATATCAGGGCTGGTATGAGGTACCTGGGTCTGCACAAAAAGATGTGCAGAAGAGTAGCATGATGTCACGACCCAAAATCAACCATCGTGATGTCGCCTATCGTGGAACTAGGCCAGCCTCAACACAACAACTATAAGTTTGAAAACATTAACGAAAGCATTTAACATTTAAAGAAAACTGTTGAAATATAAGAAATCCCAATATACGATACAATCCAGCCCAAAACCGGAGTGTCACTGAGTACATGAGCGTCTAGTTCAGAACACAGTCCACTATAGTGTCTAGAAAAAAAACCTGAAAGTACGATAAAAGATAAAGAAGGAGAGTCAAAGCCCACAAACGCCATACAACTACCTCGATAGTTTCCAAACTCTGGAACCTCAATCAGCAACCGCCGCAGCGATCGGTATCGCCTGGATCTGCACACGAGGTGCAGAGGGTAACGTGAGTACACCAACTCAGTAAGTAGCAAGTCCAAATTTTGGACTGAAAGGTAGTAACGAACTCAACCTCAACAGATATAACAGAATAATGTGCAGAATCGTAGGCATGCTTTCAAGTAAAATAGACAGCTCAAAGCAATAAGGTAAATACTGATCTGAACAGTGTAAAGTATACAACTCAGCTATCTCTACATGCCATGCATAGACTGTATGTATGCACCATGTGCTCCCACTCTCAAGTGCTCGACCACTCGGTACTGTATATGGCCAGCCGGCCTAGGGAAATCCATCCCGAAACATATACAACACTGACTGTAAGTCACCTAGTACCGAGGAAAAAGGGCGATCCAACCCTGTGGAGAAATCCATCTCCAGGTATCAAATACTTCGGACAAAACCATGTCCAGGGAAATCCATCCCTCAATAATGTCATTCGCGCTCACTGGGGGTGTATTACAGACTCTAGAAGGGCTTCTGCAGCCCAAGCGCTATCATAATCATCAATATAACCGATGCAGCGTGCAGCCCAATCCCATAACTTTCACTCATAACTAGGCTCTCGGCCTCACTCAGTCATCAACCTCTCCAGTCTCACCACGGGCTCACAATGTTATGAAAACAACCCGGAAAAATGATATGATGAATTAATAAATAACTGAGACTGAGATATGATATAAAAATGCATGATCATGACTAAGTATGGAATATTAAATGAAAACTAGTGAGATGACAGCAAGAAACGACCGCGGAGGGTCGAAACCATACCAGCACATAGCCTAAACATGATATCTAGCATGATTTACAACTCAACTACTTGATCAAATGATGAAAACATGAATATCATTAGGATAGAGTCACTAAACGGTGCCATGGAATCACCCAGGTCACAATCCTCATGGTGCACGCCCGCACGCTCGTCACTTGGCATGTGTGTCACCTTAGTACTAATCACATAGCACATAGTTCGGGGTTTCGAACCCTCAGAACTAAGTCTGGAAGCGTTACTTACCTCAAACCAAGTAAAATCCTACTCAGCAATGCCTTTGCCTCTCCACCACGCCTGCGATCATCGCACCTGCGGCAATATCCTCGCATGTGCGATTACACCAGCAATAGCCAACTTCAGCAAAACTTCCAACTCCAAACTTGTTCTGTTAATCACCTGAAATCAACCCAAGGCCCTCGGGACGACAACCAAACATAACAACAGATCCTATAACATCATACGAACTTAGTCAAACATTCGAATCACTCAAAAAAACATTAAAACACCCAATTGCACTCGGATTCAAGCCTAAAGAACTTCAAAACTTCTGAATTCTACAAACAATGTCGAAACCTATCAAACCACGTCCGAATGACCTCAAATTTTGCACACAAGTCAGAAATGACACCATGAACCTACTCCAGCTTCTGGAAATCCAATCCGACCCCAATATCAAAATTTTCACTGCCGGCCAAAATTGCCAAAATTCTAACTTTCGCCAATTCAAGCCTAATTCTACTACGAACCTCCAAATCACATTTCGGACGTGCTCCTAAGTCCAATATCACCTAACGAAGCTAACGGAACCATTAAAATTCAAATCCGAGGTCATTTACACATAAGTCAACATCCAGTCAATCTTTCCAACTTAAGCTTTCAAATAAGAGACTATGTGTCTCAATTCACTCCGAAACCACTCCGAATCCGAACCAACTAACCCGGTATATCATAATATAGCTGAAGAACACAAAAGAAGCAGGAATTAGGGAATATAACTCTCGAA